TTTGAGGGAGACACCCAATGGCAACCTCTGATCTGAACAAACATCTGCATGTGTGCATGCACTTGCAATCTCTCACACACATACCCCCATATCAACATGAAAAGAAAGCCCTCATCACCTCACCTATTTCCACATTTAAAAGAGCTTTACAAAATACCTGGGCCCTGACCATTAGTAGGTCAAGGAGCCTGCAAATGTGTATTTCTAACAAGTTCCCAAGAGATGCTAATGCTAGCCTAAGGACTAGATTTTCCCTTTTTGGTGGTACAGGGATCAATAAACTCAGGGATTCATCATGCTAGGTAAATTCATTACCACTGAGCAACAAGCTCAATCCCTAAGAACACATTTTTAAGAACCATGATTCTAAGACATTCTATGAACATAGTGATTGCTACAAAAAAACAATCTATAACAAATTAGATGTTTCAGCACGTACCTTCCTGATGATGATTTTCTCTCTCTTCCAAAGTCATTTATGAGAAGCTTTCTCTTGTATCTTGCAATCTCTTTGTTAACTCTGGTCCTCATTTCATCTTCTTCAACTGCACTTGCCCAGTCAGAACATCTAGAACGGGGCTTAGGGCCTTCAGGAGTCGTAAAGCTACAACAAAGGGAAAATGCATTTAAATGAGCACTGAGTTTTTTGAGCAAAGAATAAAGCACTGCTTTGGCAGAATGCCAAAGAAATGGGTGAGTTAGGCAATCTTTCAAAGTCTTCCGGACATCATTAGGCAACTACCAATGAGTCAGTGCTAGACTATGGGAAGTCTACTAAGTGGGGGGTGGAGTTTGTAAAAAATATTGTCAGTACCATGAAGAGTACCCACTATGGAAGAACTTGGCTTTATGTTTTCTTTTCTTTTTTGGTATTTCGAGACAGGGTTTCTCTGTATTGTTTTAGAGCCTCTCCTGGAACTCACTCTGTAGACCAGGCTGGCTTTGAACTCAAGAGATACACCTGAGTCTGCCTCCCCAGTGTTGGGATTAAAGGCATGCGCCACCAATGCCCGGTGGCTTTGTTTTTTCAGAGTCTCATTCACATAGGCTTGAAAACTCTCCTCTCTCAGCTACCTCATAAGTGTTGACAATACAGGTGTTAGCCACTATACCTGGCCTCAATGTGCTAGGTGTAAAACAAGGTATTATAGGATTTTTTAAAAAGTTACTTATGTGTATACAGTGTTCTGCCTGCATGAATGCCTACATGCCAGAAGAGGGCAGCAGATCTCATTACAGATGGTTGTGAGCCACCATATGCTTGCTGGTAATTGAACTCAGGCAGGATCTCTGGAAGAACAGCTTGTGCTCTTAACCTCTTAGCCATTGATCCAGCCCATATTATAGGACTTTAAAGGCTCCAAATAACAAAATTTATTGTGCTAAACACTGACAAACCCACAATGATAAGTCAGACAGATGAGGCTTACCTTTCAGATGCACAAGACTTACATTTAAAAAAAAAAAAAGATTTATTTACTTGGGCTGGAGAGATGCTGGGCCTGCAGGGACACATGCAGACAGAACACTGCATACATAATAAGTAAATAAATCTTTTTCTTCTTATTTATTTATTATGTATACAACATTCTGCTTCCATGTGTATCTGCACACCAGAAGAGGGCAATAGATCTCATTACAGATGGCTGGGAGCCACCATGTGGTTGCTGGGAATTGAACTCATGATCTCTGGAAGAACAGTGAGTGCTCTTAGCTTCTGAGCCATCTCTCCAGCCCGACTTACAACATTTAATAGGCACAATAACATGGAAAAGGTAATATACGAATCTTGTGAATCTAAATTTTTTTGTTTTTGAGATAGAATCTCACTATATAGACCAGGCTGGCCTTGAATGCAAGAGAGCCTTCTGCCTCTCAAGTGCTGGAATTAAGGCATGTGACACCATGCTGGGGGCGGGGTAGCTCACTCGTTTAATCCCAGCACTTGGAAGGCAGAGGCAGGTGGATCTCTTGTGAGTTCAAGGCCAAGGCCAGCCTGCTCTACCGAGTGAGTTCCAGGACATCCAAACAAACAAACCACACACAAAAAGAGCTCTTAACTGTTCTTCCAGAGATCCTGAGTTCAATTCCCAGCAACTACAAGGTGGCTCACAAAAATCTGTAATGGGATCAGATTCCTTTTTCTGAAATTCACTAAGACAGATGTGAATAAACAAATCTCTTAAAAATAAACCTAGCCTGGTATAGTAGTAGCACATGCCTTTAATCCCAACACTTAAGAGGCAGGTGGATCTCTGAGTTCAAGGTCAGTCTGGTCTACCTAGTAAGTTCCATGACACCCCTGTCTTAAAAAAAAAAAAAAACCTAACACTTTCTCTTCAGATAACTGAGACCATGACGGAGTTCAAATCTTCATCTCAATGAGGTTTTCTGTTTGGTTGGTTTTGTTTTCATTGAGACAAGATAGCCCAGGCTACTCTCAAACTCACTAGGTAGCAAAGAAAGACCTTCAACTTCTGATACTCTCGTTTTTAACTCCTGAGCATTACTGGGATTATTGATACAATATCACCTCCCGTAGGGCTGTCTTTTAGCCTCCCCTATACTCCAATAACTAGTTGAAAGCCTTCAAATAAGTGCTGGTAAATCATATTTGCACTTGACCAGCCTCCCTCCCAAGACAGGTCTGTCCACCCACTGTTACAGCTACCATGGGGAGATGATCAAAGAATTGAAATCAGTCTGACTTTTCTATCTTCGATCAGCAAAAGTCTGAATTCCACACTGCGTTCCCTGAGTTAAATCACCATGTCCCTTCACTGGGCTTGGCAGCCCTGTCCTTATCTTCTTTTCTAGTTACCTAACAGACCACATATCCCCATAGAAAGGCATGGTCAAAATATTTAGATCACTTTCCTCATCATTCACTACACAAAAGGTCCCCTGTGCAGCCCACATCACCAGCTTACTCTTTTAGATACTACTGGTCTCTCTGAATTACTATTTTACTTGCTGGCATAACCTCCATGAGGCTACCAAAAGACCTCATTGACTCCAGCATGGTGCCTCACCTTAAAAACAAAAAAAACTAAACACTGTGGCAAAAGCTGACCAGATGGAAGGAACCTAGGCACATCACGAAGTTTGAGTGGCCTGAGAATTCAACTTTGGTGTGCATCTGTATTTCACTCAGGTACTTAAGCATAATTCTATTTCTCTCTCTCTCCCTCCCTCCCCCCCTCACACATACACACACACACGGCAAGGGAGGGGGTGTCAAAACATTTTAGCAAGGTGTTCAAAGCAGTAGTCCCTGACATTATGCGTGAAGAATGTAAAGGCTCCCCCACTCCGGATAAAACCAGTTTTGCTGCCACCTGTCAGTCGCTGGTAAGATGCCTCTAAGACTGAGCAAAAATAAAGGGAAGCCAGAGTCACCTAATTTATTCCATCCTAAAAAGCGATGGGATGAGGGTCCCTTGGCCCTCCTCCAGACCCACCAAGTGACCAACCCGTTTCCATTCGGCCAGCGCCCACCTTTCAGGTCGACGGTCTGCAATCTGGCGCTCGCTTTCCTCGGAGTCCTCGGGCTTCCGGTCCCTTCCGTCCGCTCTGCGCTTCCGTCCGAGGCTCCATCTCGCAGGGGACCGCGGGCTGCGGACACAGACAGCGGTCAGTGGGCGGGGCCCTACAAGCACGGGCGGTTCTGAGACCCCTACCTCACAAACAACTAGATACGGAAGACTTATAGACTGCACGACCCACTTACTTTTCACCGGCGTCGTGGCGGCTCCCATACCGGGGTGGGCTTCTAGGTCTGCAGGCCATGGCGGCAGAGGGTTGGAGAACGGTGCAGCAGCAGTAACCTCACCTGGAGAGAGGGCTGACGAGGTCTGAGCTCGCCTAGACCAACCGCCCTTAAATGCGCAGCGGCCCCGCCCCTCAGCAACTCCCGCGCGCGCGCGGGATCGGACGAAACCATCGGTCCTTCACCTGTAGGGGAGCCCTTCTCGACTCTGCGCGCCCCGCTGGCGGCCCCACTTTGGACCTATGCCTCGGAACTGCAGGCAGTCCCCAAACTACAACGCCTGATGCAGCCGCCCAAAAGGCCAAGGGAAATGCGACAGCCCGACTAAAGCGAAAAGGAACTGGCGGCCCCCGACGGCCTTACAGGAGGCTGGCGCTGTGGCTGCCTGGTCTCTGATTGGTTGCGTCTTCGCGGGCCCGAGGAGTATTGGC